CAGGAGAACCACATGCGGGTCACGGCTGGGAAATGAAACATGGGGTGTGCGACCCCAAAATGCCAGCTTGAGGGAAGGATTGCTTCACCTAGGTTTGCCCCATCTCCCTTGTCAGGGCAGTAGGGACAAGAGTCTGGTGGCCTGGGCCTGTCTGGAGCTATCACACTGCAGCTCAGTGACAAGACTGCGCCAAGTTCCTTCTGTAAAATGGGCTCATCACTCCAGCTCTGCCTGCCTCCCAGGAAGTGTGAGCATTGGCCCATGGGAAGGGTCTGCAGAAGGCCTATGTCGTTAGCGGGTGAGAGCCAGGTGCTGTTCTTAAGACCTTTAGATCTTGGGGTCCAGTCCTTCAGTGGATACACAAATCTGTCAACCCAGCTATACCATAATGTGTTAGTCCGGGTAGACTAGAGAAAGAAATCCATAGACACGTATATGTGTGTAGGAGCAGTTGAACATTCAGAAAACAGCCCAGTCCAGATCAAGTCCACAAGTCCAGCCGATGAGTTTTTGACCCCTGCCGGAAGGGCTGGAGTCTGGCTTGGCCAGCCGAGGTGTACCCTCTGGCACTCACCTCCCGTTGGCCAGTTTTGTGCACAGGTGTAGTGCACACCTTTGCAGCTGAGACATCTTTTCAGCAGCTGGCCCGTGGGACCCTAGTATCCCCGCCCCCCTGCCCAGAGCTGTCACCTGCATTCCCACAGCCAGTCCACAGGGGGTGGGCTCTCCCGGTTGACTGTGCTTTGCTCTCTTCCTGAGCCTCCCCTAGACTGGTATCCAGAACTGAAAACAGGTCTTGGGGTGCTACAAGACCGGGACACCAGACACCACCCCCTTGCTCTAGTTCCGAACCTGTCACCTCCATGATGTCCTGAGCTCTCCAGGCCCACACACACACATACACCTCCTTTCCGTGAAGAGCTGAACACCTGTATGTACGGCTGCAGCTTGCTGGAGTCTCGTCTTGAAGCCAGGCTTCTAGGCCTGGGTGGATCCTGACCGTCACCAGCCCCTGTGGGCTTGACTTCCTCCATAGGTCTCAGAAGGGTCCTCTTCTTCACTTCCCTGGCTCAACCTTCATTCTCTCTGGACCAGCTAGTCAGCCTTGCCCACTGGCCCTCACTGCTGCCCCTGGCTCCTGCCCCCCAGGGTATGGAGCTATCCAGCATGCTTCTTTGTTCAGGGCTGAGCTGAGAAACCGGATGTTCCGGGGAGCATTTCTGGGTTGGGGCATCACTGTCAAGTCATGGTGCTCCATGAGATGGCTCCACACAATGCCCATCGGCCCTCAGCTGACGATCCCTGGACCCCCAAATGCCGCAGAACTGCACTGGGGAGGGTCCGTGAGCACACCCCGCCTCAGCCCTGCCATCCTATGATGGTGCAGTTTCCCAGCAGAGAAGACAGAGGCAGAGCAGAAAGGGGGCAGTTCAGTGCCCACTCAGGGTAGACATGGCCTACTGTGTGTCACCAGCCACGGTGTCATCGGGGTCCTGGAAGCTGGGTTGTTTTAAACAAGGCCAGCCTAGCCCTGTAGTCCCACCGGCCCTCAGTGACATGGCCCAGCCCCCACGCCACCCACCAGCTCAGCCACTCAGAACTCTCCTGCCCCCCCCAGGAGGCCCGGCTGTAGCCAATCCTGTAGCCAGCCGCAGCTCTCAGTCCGTTCCTTGCATGCACACCTGCCCAGTGCCTGGCCGTCTACAGGCCGCACTCCTCCTCCTCCACCTGCAGCCTCTCAGCCTGCAGGCCACTCGGTGGCCGGCCAGCCCTGGAGGCTGAGGACAGAAGCTCAGAGCACTATGGAGAGAGGGTGTCTTGTGCTCTTTGGCCCAGAACAGCCAGGGGGCCAGGCATCATCTAACTGACCTCTCTGACATGAGAAGCTATGGATCCACAGGTCGGGGCACTCTGAGCCCTCCTGGAGTTGGCAAGAGCAGTGTTGACTGCTAACTGTGACTTTTAGGCCAGCAGGGCCCTGAGGCCCAAGGAGCACAGAGCCACGACCAGATGAGTCTCAGCAGTGGGGAACTGAGGGGGTAGGGGCCCGAATCTCCTCCTCTTGACTAGGGGAGGGCAGCGGAGTTGGGGGGAGGGTTTGTCCCTGGCTCCCGCAGTCTCAACAGTTGCCAACGGGCCACAGTCAGACTACCACCGAGCAGCTTCTGTTTTGACTTGTTCCAGCACAAATCAGTTTTAAAACCCAGGCCACAAAGTTCCCGGCTCTGGGGCTGCCAGGTTCACTGTGTCCCTGTGTAGTCATGAATACTCCCCTCCCAAATGTATTAGCCTTGAAGCTCGCTGGTAATACAGGAGTTACGGCCCCTGGTGCAAATGCCACAGCTTCCGCCACATGCTGTGGCTTGCACCATAGCCAATCCTGATGTCCCCCCCATGCTGCCCCAGTGGTGACACCATGGAGGTGCCCCAGCCTGGCATCTGGCCGGCCCAGTGCTTCCCCCACCCCGGAGCTGTGGGAGCGGGGCTGCACCCGGCCCAGTGCTGGCCCATGGAGAGGAGGTGGCTGGGTGGGCGTGGAGGCAAGATAGGCTTTTTACAACCACTGGCCTCTGAAATGCAGAGCCCTGGTGGCACAGTGGGTGATGTGTTGACCTGCAAACTGCAGAGTGAGCAGTTCGAACCTGCCGGCTGCTCCTGGGGAGAAAGATGAAGCTGTCTGCTCCCCTAAAGATTTACAGCCTCAGAAACCCACAGGGGCAGCTCTGCCCTATGGGATCGCTTTGAGCCAGGATTAACTGGACGTCAGTGAGCTAGGGGTGTTGCCTGCCAAGTCTGTACCGGGTGAAGGGTACCCGGGACCTCAGGTGGCCCCAGAGCCTTATAGGACTGGACCTTGAGGAGCCAGGGGGGTCCTGTAGAGTCATGCCAGAGGGCAGGCAATGCCAAAGGCGATGTCACACATGTGTAGGACTCGGGCCTGCATTTGCGTCTCAGCTCAGCCCTGAACAAGCACCGTGAGCTGGCCAGCGCCCTGCAGTGGTTGTGTGGTCTCCAGGACCGCTGCCCACTCAGCACCCCACAGTCACCCACGGTCTCCGAATCTTCACCGCCTCTTCATCACAAACCCTGCATTCTCCTTTTGCCCGGGGCTCCCCCGTGTACGTCCTACCTCTGAACACCCCCGTCTTGCCACATGAAGAGTCGTGGCGAATAGCACACCTTGGAGGCGAGGGTTGGCACAAGGCTCAGGCACACCTCCCACACTGGGTCCGCAGTAGGAAAGACAGTGCCCTTCCTCAGGAGGGCTGCCAGAGGAATGAAGCTGGGAGTGAGGAAGGCACAGCACAGGACCCCCTCCCCCCCCCAGCCCCCAACAACTCTCCTGCCCCCGCCAGGAGGCCCGGCTGGGCTCCATCCCCACCTCTGCCTCCTGGCAAGTCCAGCCCTGCCCAAGAAAAGCCCACACCGTGAGTATGGCTGTCGCTGCACTCAGGCAGGCCTCAGCCGGATTAAGCGGTTGTGTTTGCAAAGTGCACGCACTCCAGGAAGAAAGGGGGCGGCCAGCTGCCACAGAAGCAACCCAAGGCTTTGGGGGCCAGCTGTGAGCATGGTGGGCCAGCGGGGCTGGGTCGCATGTTAACGGAAGGCCGACTTGCTGCCAGTCCCAGGCCAGACGCCACAGTCGCTATCTCATTGAATCTCACGATTCGTGCAGTGGTTTACGTGGTAGGCTGTCAACCACAAGGTCAGCAGTCTGAACTCACCAGCTGCTCCACAGGAGAACTGGGCTTTCTGGTCCTGCAAAGAGCTGCCGTCTCGGAAATTCTCAG